AGTAGGGGAGGGGTACAGAGAATGGGAGACAGAGAATCCGAAGTAGGCTCTGCACTGTTAGCACAGAGCCTAACATGGGGCTTGAACTCATAAACCACGAGATCATGACCTGAGTCCAAGTTGGACACCTAAATAACTGAGCCACCCAGGCACCCCTTAAGCTTGACATCCTAAAAGCACTACATTTTTACTCCCACCTTTCATATTTTATGTGTAGGATATCATATTTTATACCTTTTAATTTTTGTATCCCTTAACCAATTTGTTGATATTATTAATTTTATTAATTTTGTTCTTTAACCATCATAGTAGCTTTATATGTAATTGACCTACTACCTTTACTGTGTATATTTTTTAACCAGTGAAATTTTTTCCTTTCACAATTTTCTTCTATTTATGGCCTTTTCTGATTAAAAATTTCTCTTCAACATTGCACATAAGGCCAGTTTAGTGGTGGTGAAATCCTTTAATTATGTTTGGGAAACTCTTTATGTCTCCTCAATTCTTATTTTTTTAAAAATTTTTTGTTTGTTTTATTTTTGAGAGAGACAGATCATGAGTGGAGGAGGGGCAGAGAGAGAGGGAGACACAGAATCTGAAACAGACTTCAGGCTCTGAGTGTCAGCATAGAGCCCAACACGGGGCCTGAACTCATGAATCATGATAGCATGACCTGAGCCCAAAGTTGTACGTGCAACTGACTGAGCCACCCAGGTATCCCTCTCCTCAATTCTTAATGATAATCTTGCTGAAAGAATATCCCTTCCCCCCCCCCTTAAATGTTTCTTTATTTGTTTTGAGAGAGAAAGAGAGACTAGGGGTAGGGCAGAGAGAGAGAATCCCAAGCAGACTGTACGGTCAGTGCAGAGCCTGATGAGGAGCTTGAATCACGAATCATGAGATCATGACCTGAGCCAAAATCAAGAGTCAGACGGTTAACCAGCTGAGCCACTCAAGCACCCCTGGGTAGAATATTCTTAGTTGTAGTTTCTTCCTTTCAGCACTTTGAATATATCATACCACTCCCTCTTGACCTGCAAATTTTCTGCTGAAAAATCAGCTGATAACTTATGGAGTTTTCTTTATATGTTTCTAGTTGCTTCTCTCTTGCCGCTTTTAAAATCCTCTCAACAATTTAAGATGTCAAAAACTAAAGATAAGTGTCATGGTGTGGATTTCTTGGGTTTATCTTATTTGGGGATTTCTTTGCCTTCTTAACCTAGATGTCTGTTTCCTTCCCCAGGTTAGGGAAGTTTTCAGTTACTATTTCTTCAAATAAGTTTTCTGCCCGTTTCTCTCTCTTGTTCTTCTTCTGGGATCCTTATGATGCAAATGTTTGTTCACTTGATATTGTCCAAGAGATCCCTTAACCTGTCCTCATTCTATTTTTATTTTTGTTGTTTAGCTTGGATGCTCTCCACTACCTTGTCCTCAAAATTAGTGATCCGTTCTTCTGCATCTGCTAATTTACTGCTGATTACCTCTATTATACTTTTCATTTAAGTCATTGTATCCTTTAATTCTGATTATTTTCATATTTTCTGTCAACTTGTTGAAGTTCTCACTAAGTTCATCCACTCTTCTCTCTTGTCCAGTGAGCATCTTGGTGCCCATTACTTTGAACTCTTCATCAGGTAGACTGGTTATCTCCATTTAGTTTTTTGCCTAGGGTTTTGTCTTGTGGTTTTGTTTGGTACACATTTCTGTCTTCTCATTTTTAACTTTTTGTTTTTTTCTTCTATGAATTAGGTGGAACAGTTACTTTTCCCAAACTTGAAGGAATGGGCTTGTGTATGGTTGTCCTCTGTGTAGACTATGTGCCTGGTGACTTTCGCTGACTGGCTAGAGCTGTGGCTAGCATGGGTGCAGATTCCAGGGCACTCTGAGCTAGGGCTGCCCTGGTGGGACAGCTGGAGCTGATGTGGGCATGGGCCAGTGTAGTCTCAGGGCTCTCTGCACAGAGGGTGCCCTGGCAGGACAGCAGAGAAGAGGCAGTGTAAGCTGGGGGTGCCTGGGGCTCTCCACAGAGAGGGCAGCCTGGCAGAGTAGCTAAACATAAGGCAGGGCGGAGTCTGAGGGTCCTGGGGCACATTGTGAAGACGGCATTCTGATAGGGTGTCTGAAGCTACTGCAGGCACGATCCAAGTGGCCCCAGAGTGCCATGGACCAGAGGTGCCCTAGTAAGTCATATGGAACTGAAGTGGTTCAGGTCTAGAGTATTCTGGGCTGCTCTGTACCCATGTCAGCTTTGCAAGACAGCTGCAGCTGTAGTGAGCACTGACCAGGTGTGTTCTGGCATGTGTTACACTGGGACAACCTTGGTGGTACAGCAGGGCTGGTGTGGGCTCGGGGCATGGGGCTCACTGAAGCATTAGGCCACCTAGAATGCCGTACCCTGCTTCCATCCACACTCTCAAGGTGGAGGGGAAATATAAACTGTGGCCACCATCCCCTCTGACCAGGACAAAGTTCCAGCAGTTCCCCTGCTATTTGACAGAGTTCTCGGCTGGTTCCTGTATATTCTAGTTGACCTTTTAATCCATGACTTTTTTTATGTGCCCCACAGCAGATGATCTGCTCACAGTATCCCTTCTCACTGCTGTTTGCAGTGTCAAGGGTGAGGATTCCCTTTGTTACTGAGTCTCTATTTCTCTCACTATTCTTTATGTGGTCTCTGTATCTTCAATTGTGCAGAAGCTGTTTAGTCAGCCCTCTGCTCTTCTTCAGGAGAAACTTCTCTATAAATAGGTGTAGATTTGGTGTGTCTGTGGAGGAGGTGAGTTCAGGGTCTTCTAACATCACCCCCTTGGAACAAAATCTCTTCTTTATGATTTTTCTGAATATTTTCTTTTCTCTAGCATATGTTATTGTAAGAATACAGTATACAATACATCTAACATACAAAATATGTGTTAATTGACCATTTATGTTATTGGTAAGGCTTCTAGTGAACAGTAGGCTATTAGCAGTTAGGCTTTGGAGGAGTCAGAAGTTATACGCGGATGTTTGACTGTGAAGGGTGATATCCCCAACTGCCATACTGTTCAAGGGCCACCTGTATATATTTTTAACTGTGTGGGGAGGGGTGAGCAATTGTTGAAGGTTCTTGGCCGTTTATAATTTTTCTAGTCTACTCTCCAACTTCTTTACTACTTATTTTATTCCCCAAGCTCTTTTTAAAAATTGGTTATGGCTAGTATCCAAAATCTATAAAGAGCTCACCAAACTCCACACCCGTAAAACAAATAATCCAGTGAAGAAATGGGCAGAAAACATGAATAGACACTTCTCTAAAGAAGACATCCAGATGGCCAACAGGCACATGAAAAGATGCTCACCGTCGCTCGTCAGGGAAATACAAATCAAAACCACACTCAGATATCACCTCACGCCAGTCAGAGTGGCCAAAATGAACAAATCAGGAGACTATAGATGCTGGAGAGGATGTGGAGAAACGGGAACCCTCTTGCACTGTTGGTGGGAATGCAAATTGGTGCAGCCACTCTGGAAAACAGTGTGGAGGTTCCTCAGAAAATTAAAAATAGACCTACCCTATGACCCAGCAGTAGCACTGCTAGGAATTTACCCAAGGGATACAGGAGTGCTGATGCATAGGGGTACTTGTACCCCAATGTTTATAGCAGCACTCTCAACAATAGCCAAATTATGGAAAGAGCCTAAATGTCCATCAACTGATGAATGGATAAAGAAATTGTGGTTTATATACACAATGGAGTACTACGTGGCAATGAGAAAGGATGAAATATGGCCCTTTGTAGCAACGTGGATGGAACTGGAGAGTGTGATGCTAAGTGAAATAAGCCATACAGAGAAAGACAGATACCATATGTTTTCACTCTTATGTGGATCCTGAGAAACTTAACAGAAG